CGTCCTGAGTACTTAACAAATTGGACAAAAATGGAAAAAAGCGTCTCAATTTCATAACTAGAATGTATGAACCTTATGTCTCTTTTTGGAAGAAACGTTTGCCATATATGATTCTCTCGGGTTCTCTGGTTCTATTTTTCCTATCAATTTTAATAGGTGTCGTATTTGGCATTATTTTTTACCGAGTCTCCGTTAAAACTGCCCTCTCAGAGGACCTCGATCCTAAAATAGGAAAATACTCGTCTTTAATCAGCGCATCAAGTGCTTCTTTCATAAATGTTATTTTTATCATAATTTTCAACTGGGTCCATACCAAAGTGGCTTATAAATTAACTGAAATGGAGCTACCTCGGACGCAAACTGAATTTGACAATAGCTTAACGCTTAAATTATACGTTCTAGAGTTTGTCAACTATTACTCGTCGCTTTTTTACATAGCATTCATAAAAGGACGTTTTGTCCGTCATCCCGGTGACCTGTTTGAACCAGGACTTCTTAATAAAGAGCAATGTGGCCTCGGAGGATGTTTCGTTGAGTTAACAATTCAATTGGCATTCATAATGATAGGAAAACAAGCAATTTTTGCATTACTTGAAATGCTTCAACCTTGGTTTGAAAAGAAGAAGCTTGAGTAAGTGAATTAAAAAACGATTTGATTTCGTTTATTTTCCTTGTTATTGATTATCAATAATTCTGATCATTCTGTTTTATTTCAAATCTTCAGAAAAATTATCAACTTTAATCCAAAAGATATACTTCTTTTACCTCAATGGGAAGCTGATTACCCACTGAACAATTGGGAAGCAACTGCACTATTTTACGAATACCTGGAAATGATAATCCAATTCGGAATGGTTACAATATTTGTTGTTGCTTTTCCTTTGGCCCCATTATTTGCCCTGATTAACAATGCTTTTGAAATACGATTGGATGCACGAAAATTTCTATCTCATTACAAAAGACCTGTTGCTGTCAGAATTAAAGACATCGGTGTTTGGTTTCACATAATTAATGCTCTTGGAAAACTCTCTATTCTCACAAGTGCACTAACCATTGCCTTTACTTCAAGTCTAGTACCTAAAACATATTACTATTTGAAAAATGGATCTCTTGATGGTTTTATATCCTGGTCTATCTCATATTATGAGACTAAAAATTTACCCCAGAATCTCACCGATTTCATCAGGCAGAATAACCTTTCTCTTAATTCCTCAACAACATGTGCCTACTCAGGTCTCCGTCATCCTCCAGGAGGAAGTGAACAGTACAAACCAACAGAAGAGTTCTGGGAAATCTTGGCCTACCGGTTAATATTTGTAGTTATTTATCATAATACAATCCTGTTGTTTGATACTCTACTTGACTGGATAATAGCTGATGTTCCCAAAAAATTGTACCGACGAATACGACAAAATACCTATTTGACGAACGAGTTTATTATTGCCCAAGAAGCGATAAAAACTGAAAATGATAACAAAAAATCATCAACAATATAATATTTTAGCCTGAAAACATTAAAATGTACGAAAATGAATGCTAAAAAAGCCTTTAATATGATAAATTATCTCAAAAACTGTTGAATCTTAAAAAACAATCATGACATGTAAATTTTAATTGTTGTTACCAATGTTAACGTCCAAATATTGATAGATATTTAATTTCAATAATAACTGTCTGAAACAATACAAATATAATATAAAGATGAAATAAAATTAAATTTATTAATTTTACAAAAGCTTTTCAATCCATTCCACTCACGGACAGTTGATGGCAGTTAGTATTTTACAAATTCATCGGTTAAAAACCAATATATGAAATCGAGTATAAACTTTGACACTTGTAATGAACTAATCTGGTCTCATTTTCTCGCATTATAGCCAGGCTCGTTGTGGAAAGATAAAACAATCCCATATGAAATTGACCCGGCCTTAGGTAATAATTGATTAACATTACCTTGATTGTAAGTTCTAATTGATATTTATTCTTTGGGTTCTTTAACCCCCTCAATTTGAGTAACGTGTGTGTTTGTAAGTTAGGCGCGAGCTTTCTTAACACCCCGTACACTTGCTCATTTCAATCGTTTGTTTTTGGTTAACTTCTAGCAACCCAATTTCCGTGCGCTCGATTGACTTACGACATCAACAACCCACAACTTTGCACCAAAAGTGTGCCTAACCAGGCCGAGATTTATACGCTCAATTTTTGAAGAATTGATGATTCTATGTGCTTAAATTATCGAAATATTGATTGTGTATCTCATTTAATTTAAATAAATTTTGAGCAAAGCTCAACTCAAAGCTTATGTTTAAAACAGCTTTAGCTTTAAAAGCTTAAAAGTTTGGCGAAATTGGAACATACCGGAGGAAAATAAGTAAAACACTCTATCTTTAGCGGATGAATTGATTTTTATTTTTATTAAAAAGTGGGTTACAAGCAGGATGAGTCAAAATGAGTATGTGGTTGGTTTGCGGGCTATCGGGCTGAGGACTACGCTGAGTCCTCGTTGTGTACAACAAGATCTACCATACGAGATCTGAAACTTAGATTCCTCGACTGCTTCGCTCGTATGGAAGAAAATCACTTTAACCACTTGTTTCTGGAAATGATAAATTCTGCAACTGAATCCTTAGCTTCGAAGCCATTTTTCAGTATATGATGAGCTTCCGCTAAGCTTTTTTGGGGGCAACCAAATTCGTCATCTCTCTGTTTACCGCGAAACACTTTGATTGAATTGATACCAAGCCTTTGGGCTATTTTTTTAATAACAGAGCCAATGAAAATTTTCGAATCCTCCTCTGGATCATAAACCCAAAATTCTTTGCTCTTAATAATAGCTAATCTTACGCGTACACCACAAGTTTTAGTAAACAACCCTTCATATGCAGAAGTGACTAACAAAACTGTTTTGCCATTTTTCAGTTGGTGTCTAGTTGCGTCTGCAGCAGGACTAGCACTACAAATAATATTGGCTAAGTTTTTATTTTGTATTGGCCCACGTTTTTTTGATTGCTTGGCATCCCTTATACATACGTACTTATTATAAAGTGCGACCTCTTGTAAAGTTATGAAGCCATTATTCAATTCATAAAAACTGGTCAAAATGCGTATGAAATCCTTCCACAAGGCTAGTTCTTCATCACCATTTTTAGCACTGTCACACTTTTTTGACAAAAGTCTCTCAAGCTTTTTATTTAAAGTCGTTTTTTCACTGTTTGCCATTGCGATAAAGGAAGATAAGATATATGCGCTGAGATGATAGAAACACAAGTGTTATATTAATAGAAACAAGTAATAGGGTGAAAGGTAGAGCTGGGCGATTAGGGTAAGCCCTATTTAACCAACAAAATATTGAGTAGGATATTTCAGGATCTGCAACCAGTTGAACACTTCTTTTCCTTTTGTAACTTTTAATATGAATCTTTAAATTAAATCACCGGTCAGTCACTTATTTTACAATGATATTTATAATAGGAACTTAAAATTGAATTGAAACTTGAAACTAGGAATTTAATTTTTGAACAAATAGGCTTCCCTATTCAAACACGAACGACGAATAGGCCATATCGAGCGAACAGTTAATCGATTAAAATTAAAAATTTAATTAGAACATCGATTAATTGATTTAAGTCCGTTTATTTTGATTTTTTGGAGTGCTGACATCTGTGTGAACTACGGAGGAAAACAATTAATTTTACAGTTTAAACAATTGATCTAGTCTAATGACATCACTTCAAGGGGAAAGTGTAAAAAGGCTAAAGGGAAATAACTAGACTGGATTAAACAGTGAAATTAATTGTGCCTCCGTAATCTGCAACATTTAAAGTGAGGATTGTATTTTGTTTTTTGATACACTTTAATTTAGCGATTTCAACATTCTTAATTCACAAGCAAATGTAGTTTTTAATGGTGATGATTCTTTATTGTACTTGAACAGTGAATAGTTTGAATATTGAATTCACAGAATGCAATCGTTGCTTCTCCGAAGGAAATTAATGTGAAATAACATCTTTTAGCGATGAATTGAACGAAACACAAAGGCTAGTGATTGAGTAAAAAGTCTCGAGTTATATTGATGGGCAATCTAATTTAAGATTCAAAATTAAAATAACACTTCATCATTTGATATTTACTTGATGGTATCCATTAAATTGCAACATGAAATCATCTCATTGTTTTGATTGTTCACTGCAATAAGCTAAATTTAATTAAAAGTATCATGATATTATTAGTGATGATTAAGAAATGTATTGTGTTCAAAAAACCACATCTGCATGTTGGTATCTAAAAATGGACAGAATCAAGATGATTGACAATTGAGTGTCCGTTAACTAGTTTTAGCTTTGCATCAAAATCTCGTCAAATCACAGAGTCCAAACATATAAAAGCTGCAGCAAACTCGCTATTGAATCCATTATTCAGTCAACTCTCGTAATAGTTCAAGTTCCTAATTGAATTCTTGTCCATTGTGTACTTGAAGTTTGTGTTTCCAATCCAACTATTGAAATGATTCTTAAACATTCAACTTTTTTCCTTTGCTTAATCATCTATTTAAGCTCTTCAATCCATTCCATTCACGGACAAGTGATGGCAGTTAGTATTTTATCGGTTAAAAACCAACATATGAAGTCGAGTATAAACTTTGATACTTGTAATAAACTAATCTGGTCTCATTTTCTCAAATTATAGCCAGGATCGTTGTGGAAAGATAAAACAATCCCATATGAAATTGACACGGCCTTAGGTAACTATTGATTAACATTACTTTGATTGTAATTTCTAATTGATATTTATCCTTTGGATTCTTTAGCCTCACACAGAGCAACTATTCTAGCCGCCATGAACGAAATCAGCGGAAAAACTTGCATTAAATTTGTGCCTCGAAACGGTCAGACACGTTATTTGAACATCAAATCTTCACAAAGGTAAGTTTATGTGAGTGATATACACAGTGTTCCTTTTTTAACAAACAACTTTTGACTAAATATGTACAGCTGTAACATTGTCGTTGGTTCAATTCCTGGTGGAACCCCACTCAATTTGAGTAACATGTGTGTTTGTAAGGGAATCATCATGCACGGTCTATATCATGCCGCAGGAGCCGCCAGGCCTGGTGATACTGGTCCTTATCATGGTAAGAAACAATCTAAAAACGATAGAATAAAAAACTATATGAAAATGGTACTTACACTTGCTCTATTTCAACCTTTTGTTTTTGGTTAACTTCTAGAAGACGGATTCCCGTGCGTTCGATTGACTTACGACATCAACAACGCACAACTTTGTACCAAAAATGTGCTTAACCAGGCCGAGATTAATAATCTCAAAAAGATTTACAAATGCTAATTAGGATAAGTTATAAACCGAATTTCATCAACTTCACTTGACTAATATATTAATCTGTATCATGTAATCCCTAAAATATTAATAAAGTCCCAATTTGCGCATTAAAATTGTTCGAATTCAATTTCGGTTAAAACATTTCATGTTAGTGATCTTTAAATAATGGATGAGTGAAGTATCAATTGTAATATTAATTTATTGATGTCAATGTGAATGTACAATGAGTCGAAATTTGTTCACCACTTTCTCGCTAAAACAAAAGTGATCAACAAATGGATTACAGCCCAAACAGTTGCAACTCCAATTCCATGGTAAACTTGAGGAGTGTAAACAGAATCACCATAAATAGTAAGTCTTATTAGAGCAGTACTTGGTTCGAGGTGAGGAACCATAACTGTCAAGGGCTGCATGAATTTCATGCCATGAAATACAGCAAATGGAATTGTCATTGTAATCTTCCATCGAAGAAGATATCGCCAAATGAGTAATGAAATTATTAAGTAACTTGGCAATGACGGTGGGACATCTCGTGATTCATGGGATCGCGTCTTTTCTTTTGATTTTTTCATCCGAGGAAACCAAGCAAAAGACACTCGCTTTATTAAACTATCAATGGACGACCTTAATGATCGCCTTCTCTTTGGCACTAAATCTGTATCATTTAAAAATTGTTCAGGGAAAAAACTTGGCCTTTGAGTTTCAGATCGATGAGAGTATATTTTTATGTATTCCTTGAGGATAGCTGCTTCCAGTGTTCGAGTTCCTGATGTTTGGATAAAATTACTGGGTGAATCTTGAATAATCATTGTACCTTCGGACATTTGGACTTTTCGGATTTGCGACGAAATATACTATCAAGTGACAACCTTAAAGTTTCAGTAATATGACAAAGTCTGCTTCATTATTGACTCATCATTGAAACAAAGAAAGTTAAATCTATGTGTCAATTAATTGTTTAATTGCTTAATATTTATTTCGGTTCAGTGAAAATAAAAATTGAAACAATTTGTTGCTAATAATTTAATATGTTTAATTTAGATACTAGACTTTCAATATCAATAAATTTTTTGACACTATTTGAACAGATTAAATAATGTGACATTGAATTATTAATCACAAGGTGTTTATTAGATCATCTTCACTTCCATGTCGTGAAAAAGCTCCGATTTGTTAATCTCACATCTAAAATGCCCATTTTTATTAATTACTTGCCAAGTCACTATTTAAGGAATAAACTCCCATGGAAAAGTACATTTAGTTTAGTGAATTCAAGTGTATTTCAGTTAAACAATGAATTTCTTTACTGTATTTCATCGAATCCTTTTCTTCATCATATTGACTGGATTCAGTCAATCAGCTCCAGTTGGCGGTAACCGAAAATCGCTTGGAATGGACGATTCTACGGATTTGACTGAATTCATTGAAAAATACAAATTTGAAGATTATAAAATCGTTCTGGGTGATATCATGGAAAGTATTTCAGCTACAGCTAGCTCGGTGAGTTATTTTACAAAAGCAATGATTTCTTCGCTTGTTAATGCAATTATTTCATTCTTCTTTCCATTCAGCTGTCGTTCAAGAATGCTATTGTGGACAACCAGAGACTTTGGAACCCAAAAAAAGCTATTCCTGTTGCTGTGCAACAATCATTCCGTAATTAATTATGCTTTCTATTCAATCAATTTTTTATTTGAATTATTGTCCATTTTTTACAGCGAAAGAAATGAAAGACGAAATTGAAACAGCTCTCAATGATATACAAAACCACACTTGCTTGCGATTTAAAAATGCTGAAAAAGACGATAACCGAACAGGAGTGCTTGTTTTTATAGACGGTCCTGGGTAAGCAAACGATTATTCATCATTATTAATATAACAATTTGACTGTTCATTTTCGTTTATTTACATTCAGCTGCTCTTCCTTTGTTGGTTATCAAGGTGGATTTCAACAAATTGTCATGAACTCATCTGCATGTAGATGTGCAGGAACTGCAGTCCATGAAACTATGCATGCTTTAGGATTTGCTCATGAACAAGTGCGATCCGATCGCGATGATTATGTTGAGATACTTACAGATAATATCATAAAAGAGTACATTGGAAACTTTGAGAAGCTAAGTCCAGATCAAAATCGACTTCTTACTGCTTATGACTATGGTAAGTTGGTCAAAGTCGAACAATAAGAAGAAATACAAAAATCTATTCACAGATTATGATTAACATTTATTCCTTCTTATCTATTTTCATATTCAGATTCAATAATGCATTATCCTGGTGATGCTTTCAGCAAGTCGTCAGGACTGAAGACTATTCAGCCCAAAAAGAAAGGAGTGAAACTACTTAACTCTTGTGTCAAAGGTAAACTATCAAAACTGGACATCGTTAAGATAAACAAGTTATACAATTGTACTTCTTATTTGGATGGAACTAAAAATCCTGGTAAAGATGTGAAACCGTTTGTTATAAGAAGAACATAAATGTCATTTGTTTGAAAACAAAAAAAACTGAATCATTTTCTTGAATTATTCAATAACCAATGATAACATATTTCTAAAACTTCCTTCAATAAATAAATATTCAGCGTTGAAACATTGAGTTTATTATTTAAAGCGGCTGCCGATATCATGACAGAACAAAATTGCATTTCACTGACAACACATCCAATCCACATTAAGGGACAGCTAGTCGTAGCTCATAACTCGAAAGTCAAGCTTTTGCATATTCTTCAGTAACCTGGATTCGGAAAAAAAGTTCAAGTTATTTTACGAGAGTGTAATTATTGTCAGTTTGCTTATGGTTTCAAAATCTGGGTGACATAAAAATTAAGCTCCTTGCAAAGGATATTATAAAATTGCAAAACTTTACAATAGTATAATAGATTATATTTGAAAATTTTGATTAAAGTCGAAGCATTGTTGACAATTAAAGTATAAGTCTTTCAGTTGATTCGCTTGCTGACGTTAATCTGCAACATTTACAGTGAGAATTGTATTTTGTCTTTTGATACACTTTAATTTAGCGATTTCAACACTCTTAATTCACAAGCAAATGTAGTTTTCGTATGTAGTATTAACTTGTACTTGAACTGTAATACTTGAACATTGGACAGTTTGAATATTGAACTCACAGAATGCAATCGTTGCTTCTGCGAAGGAAATTAATGTGAAATAACATCTTTTAGCGATGAATTGAAAGGCAAAGGCTAGTGATTGAGTAAAAAGTCTCGAGTTATATTGATGGGCAATCTAATTTGAGGCATAAAATTAAAATAACACTTCATCACTTGATATTTACTTGATGATATCCATTAAATATAAATAAATTTTTAACCGGATTCATCTTAAATATCATACAAACAAAATTGAAAATTATTGTTATTGTTGGACAGGCAACATTAAATTGCAACATGAAATCATCTCATTGTTTCGATTTTTCTCTGCAACAAGCTAGATTTAATTAAAAGTATGATGATATTATTAGTGATGATTAAGAAATGTATTGTGTTGAAAAAGTCACATCTGTATGTAAGTGTCTAAAAATGGACAGAATCAAGATGATTGACAATTGAGTGTCCGTTAACTAGTTTTAGCTTTGCATCAAAATCTCGTCAAATCACAGAGTCCAAGCATATAAAAGCTGCAGAAAATTCAATACTGAATCCATTATCAGTAAACTCGGGTGAACATTCAAGTTTCGAATTGAATTCTTGTCCAATGTGTACACGGAGTTTGTGTTTCCAATCCAACTATTGAAATGATTCTTAAACATTCAACTTTTTTCCTTTGCTTAATCATCTATTTAAGCTCTTCAATCCATTCCACTCACGGACAAGTGATGGCAGTTAGTATTTTATCGGTTAAAAACCAACATATGAAGTCGAGTATAAACTTTGATACTTGTAATGAACTAATCTGGTCTCATTTTCTCGAACTATAGCCAGGATCGTTGTGGCCAAGACGCGTGATAATCCCATATGAAATTGACCCAGCCTTAGGTAATAAACGCTTTGTTGACATTACCTTAATTGTAAACTCTAATTGATATTTATTCTTTGGATTCTTTAGACCCACATAGAGCAACTATTCTAGCCGCCATGAACGAAATCAGCGGAACTACTTGCATTAAATTTAGACCTCGATACAATCAGTCACGTTATTTGAACATCAAATCTTCACAAAAGTAAGTTTACGTGTGGACATATACAAAGTAAGTGCTTTTTTAACAAATAATTTTTACCAAATGTT